AAAATCCATGTGGGACGGCCCCGGGGCGAGCATCGCAAAAGGTGAGACGCCGGCGCCGGGGCTGCCCGGTGCCTGGCTCCCTCGAGGCGCCCTGCCGGGCATCCCTCGTGCCGGGTTCCCCTCGCTCGTGGGGAGCTGCAATGCGTTATCAGGGGGAGCCGAGGGGTGAACCATCCGCCTCCACTAGGGCTTTCTTGGGCGGGGGAAGGGTTGGGCGGCCTAAGGGCGGATTTGTCTTGATGTATAAACCCCCGGATTGGAACAAGTGCACGGTTTCCTCTGGCGCGCAGGCGGCCCGGGCCACCTCCTGCAGTCCCTCTCCGGCAGCCACCCTCACTGCCATCGCCTTTCTTTTCTCCAGATCCCCCTCTCTTCCCGGCTTGCCCTCTTGCCACGAGGGGTGGGGTGTTCGCAGGGGCAGGGGGCTCGCGGAACCCCAAGCAGAACAAAGTGGTGGAAGGAGGATCCTCAGCCCAGGGGGTGGGGTCCCTGGTTGTCTGGGTGGGCTCTGAGGGGAACAGGTTAAACAAACAAACAAACAAAAAATCCGTGTCAGAAAAAATGAAGCCGGGTTCATTGGGGAGGGTTAGGAGGTGGTGGTGTATGAAAAGGAATACGATGTGAAATTAAACTGGACAGCACTCCTTCTCTCCCTCTCCCCATCTCCCAATTATACAAGAAAATGGGTACTTACGAGGATGTACCTATTTTTTTTTTTTTAATTACTGTCCGATCCTTTGAAAGATCATTTTAGGACAGTGAAGATTAAGGGCTGCTTTGGGGCGGGATAATAAAATAGCGCTTGTGAACTCTCTGTTCATCCCTGCCTTATTTATTTTGTACTTAAGGGTCTCTGTTCTCCTTGTCAGAGAGGGAGGGTCTTCTCTGGTAGAAGAGGATCGATTTTAGGCGGCTACCTGCCTTTGCTGGATGAAAGGCAATTTACTCCCCGAGCGGTGAATTGTCAGTTCCCTCTGTGATTGACAGCCACACCTGCCACTTATGTGGGTGGAATGGGGACCGGTGGCACCCCAAGAGCCAATCAATGCTTGGGAGAGGAGGGCTGCTCCCACTTGTCTTGGTTAGTTTCCTGGTTGGCTCTTTAAAATCAGTGGTTTTACTTAACCATTGGTTTCCACCAGGTATGGGGCTCCATCTATGAGAGGCAGACAAGCGGGAAGAAACTCTTCGAAAACGGTATAGCAGCAAGTATGTTGGATCTCTGTTCACTTGTCCAACCCTCCCCCGTTTATTAGTTGTAGTAGTTGGGGATGCTGAGGCCACTGCCTTGAAAAGGAAATGAATCTGTGTAAAGAATGAAATGAGGAGGGGTAATGGGGGTTAGAATTGTCCACCCTTTCTTCCAGAATTGCAGTCTTCTTTAGAAGAGACACCATTTACTGTTGAGCTATCTGGGAAAAGGGTGTGGCACTTTGTCTCCTATGGTCACTCTTGTCCTTGTAAAGTCACATTGTTTCTGAGTGTACAGTACCTAGCCATTAGCTCTATTGGATGGATTTTAAGGTGTTTTTGAAGCAGGAAAACGTGCTGTATTAGTACCAACATGAACAGAAGAAATTTTTTTTTCTTTCTAGTTTTGGACAGTGTAACACAACTTAGGGGAGTGAGGTCTGCCTTGTTCTCTTTTCTGGTGTGTCAGTTTGGAGGTGACTGTGGGGTCAAGATATATTCTTTCTGGAGAGTAGAAGAGTTTGCCTTTTTCTAATGTGAGCCATCTTGTCCGTTTGCTTTATGCTCTAATAAAAGCTTTTCACATTTTGGAGGGGGAGGGGAGTATGGATAGTGATGGAATCATGGCTTTCACCAGCAAGACTTTCAGGGTTAGTTGAACCATGGGTGAAGGACCAGATCCTTCTCAACCCTCTAATAGTGAAAGATTGGCTTTTCAACACCCTTCTCCCTGGATGTGTTAGAAGAATTACTGGTTGATCCGGAGAGCCGTCACCTTATAAAAGCTATACCTGGGTGTGAACATAAAGCTGTGAATTCAGCATTTCATGAACAGATTGTGAACCAGAATGCTCTGGTTAGGATGGTCTTCATGTAGAAGTTAGGTTTGTCAAGGTAGTATTATTACTATTACTATTACTACTAATATTATTATTATTGCTTATGCTATTGCTTCACTGAGAACTTTATGTGTATTACCTTTCTCTAACTTTGAGGAGCCCCTAGGAGATAGTTACTGTTATTATCTCTAAACTATAGATGTGGAAATTAAAAGTAAATACCTTGCCACAATTCAGTGTGAGAATAGAACTTGGCTCAGGTTTGTCTGACCCAGAGACCATGACCTTGCTATGGCCTTGAATTCAAATTTTGATTGTGTGGTCTGAATGTGTCCAGTCTGAAGTGTGGGCTCTCCCAACATGCATGAAGTCAACCTGTGTGGAGCCACTGCAATGTTGATGGTCCTTGTACCTGCCTGTTCACCTTTCCATTCCTAAGTGTTGCTTTTGGTAGTAGGCAAATTTAGGAACTTTGTGTATTATATATCTCTATTAGAGCAGTTTTGGTCCAATAGAAATTTAATTCCAAACTCGATGATGACTTAAAAAAAGGTAAAACAAAATAAAATCCACACTCTTTTATTTTTCTTAATACCTTAAATTTCCAACTGGGAGTCTGAATAGATCTTGGTTGAATAAGTGCGCTTAACATTAGTCACTTGGCTTCTTTCTCCAAAGCATTAGAGTTTCATTTTTTTTTCTTTCACTTACAAAGAGATCCTTTTTCATTAGTGATTACATATTCTTATATTTAAAATTATTCTGTTAAAATTGTATGGCTCTCTTTTGTATTGTGTTGGAAAACCATAGACTTAAGTCTCATTAGTTCCATCTCATTGGTGAAACTGAAAGGTGAAGGTTTCCAGAAGAAGTCTCCTAAAAATGAATAGGTGAATAGTGCTGGAGTCCTCAAATAGTCTTTGACTTTGGTTAGGTTGATTTGTGTACAATTTGCATTTTTGCATTTAGCCTTAAAAAAAAAAAAACAGCTAACAAATTTGGTTGTTCCATGGGAGACCTACTTGCCAGCCCAGAGCCAATAGAGTTTCATCAATCCTCAATACCAATAGTAGGGCATCCCTGGGTTCAATCCTCAATACCAAAAAAAAAAAAAAAGGTTTATATTATTTCTTGATTTTTTTTTGGTATTGAGGATTGAACCCAGGGATGCCCTACTATTGAGCTATATCCCCAGCCCTTTTTATTATTTTATTTTGAGATAGGGTCTCGCTAAGTTGCCAAGGATACCCTCCAACTTGTGAATCTCCTGCTTTAGCTTCTTAAGAAGTGTGTGCCACTACACCCAGCTCTTCCTTCATATTTTATTGCAGTGTTCCTTATTTTAGCAGCTAGTGGAACAAATGGTAAGCAGAAAGGCACTTCCATTAATGATATCGTAGGTCTTGTAAATTTAAAACAGTTGATCCAAAGATAGGAATTGTTGGATGTATAAAAAGTGGGGATTCTTCAGCTTGCTCTTTCTTAGTTGAAGAAAAGAAAAAGAAATGAATGAGACATGTTAAAATATATCAAATGGTAACAATATATTAATAAACTTTGGCAGCATAACAAAAATCTCCAATTTATAGCAACAAGAAGTCTTCAGGTTGATCTAGAGTGGACTTCTTGGGGTGGCTTAGTTTTGGTTCCAGTCTGTTCCATATATGCTCTGGGACCCAGGCTAAAGGAGTAGCAGCTATATGGGGCATGCCCTTCTTATGGCAGAGCATGGAGTCAAGAGCAAAGGCAAACCACACAAACAAATGTCCCTTTCACTGACATTTTTTCCCCCTTCCCCCCCATAAAGCAAGTCACCTGGGGAAGCTTAATATCTATAGATAAAAGTAGACTGCCCATTGTAGGGGAGAGAATATTTGATAAACTACAATCCAGACTCCCATAGTGGGTACAAAATGTGGTGTCATTGGGGAATTTTGTAATTTCTCTCCTTCTTGGAGAATGCAGTCCTCATCTTCTTACTCCCACATCTAGCTTTATGATATATAAACATAGTGTTTAACTTTTCATTTCAGGAACATACCATATTTGATTTTAGAGGACTGATTATAAAAGCAGGTATGTGTATACACATGAATTACTTAAATTATTAAGGCACTATTTGTTAGAATCTACTGTGTTGCAAGAAATAATGTTCAATGCAGGGTGAACACAGTTTTAAACAGATGTGGGTCCTTTTAAGGAACTCATAGAGAGTTTACTTGGGTAAAATGGCATTTTCTTGGATTCTGGTTTGGAGATGCAGATACAGCAGTAGATACAGTAGAAATGTGAGGAGCCTATGCATATATAATGAGTTATTCCATTTGACCAGAGGCAAGAAAGGTGAAAAACAATAATAATAACCATTATAATAATAGTAGTAGTATTTATAGCTTAACTTTTATTGAGTGGTAAAGGCACTGTGCTTAGCACTTTCCGTAAAATATCTAATTTAATTTGGGGGTAGACATTGTTGATTGCCTACCTAATATTAATTCTCCTCCTTTTTACTAAAAGTACTTCAGTTTTATTTGAAATGGGAATATGACTACTTCCCCTTCCAGACTCCTTAGCAGTTTAGAATGGACGTGAGACTGAGTTCTGATGATGATATAAGTGGAAACTATTGGGTAAGGGCTTTCCTGAAAACTTTATGAGGAAGAGACACTTGGATGGTAACTCTGCTTTTGTCCCCTGTTTGCTTTTGGGGACATCAGCACAATGCCTGGATTGACACAGCCAACTACCTCCATGAAGATAATAAAACCATGTGTTAAAAATGGCAAAGCCAGCTGTGCCTTTCATCCCAGCTATTTGGGAAGCTGAAGCAGGAGAATCCCAAGTTTGAGACCAAGCTCTGTAGTAAGACCCTGTCACTAAAGAAAAAGCACTAGACATGTAGCTCATTTGTAGAGTGCATATGTGCAAGGTCCTCAATCCCCAGCATGATCTGGGTATAGTGGAGGGGAGGGACAAAGTGGAGCCTAGATGGATTTTGGTCTTGATGACAT